TATGACACTAACTTGGTGGGTCATCTTGATAGTTTTGCAGTCCATTGATATTTTCTTTGTAACTAAATCTTTCATGAATTTCGCATACCCAGGCATTTACTCCAAAGCCTCCACCAAAGGCACGTTGATGGATAAGCTCTTCATCATGTCAATGAACTTTTTGAATTGATTATCACTTTTCTGCTTGGCTAGCCTCTGAGGATAGGGGGAAGTGGTCTAGGCAAAGGTGCCTTGGCTTTTGGCATCTCCGGCTCCGGCATATCAATTATGTGCTCCCTAGACGGGTTCACGGCCTCTTGAGTTTTCATTTTCTGCTTGGCTAGCCTTTCAGGATAAGGTGGAGGTGGTCTAGGCAAAGGTGCCTTAGCTTTTGGCACCACCGGCTCCGGCATGTCAATTATGTGCTCCCTAGACGGGTTCACGGCCTCTTGAGTGTCCACCTCGGCCTCATCAATATCTGTCCTCACTTCATTGTTCACATTTGTCTACCATATCTTCAACAATCAAAGGACCCACATCTTCTTGGAACCCAACATCATCATTCACAACTTGATTTTCATTCGAGGCATGCACATCACCGCCTCTCCCACTTCTTGTTGTAACCGCCATCACATGATTATTACCTCCCTTCGGGTTCACTACCGTATCACTTGGTAGAGCACCCTTAGGTCGAGTATTCAACGATTGAGAGATTTGGCCTAGTTGCACCTCCAAATTCCGAATAGAGGTATTATGGGAAGCCAATTGAGCATTGGAGTCTTGGTTCTTCTTCATCATTTGTTCGAACATCATTTCTATTCTCCCCATATCACTACCCGAAGAACTAGACCCTTGAGATTGAAAGGGAGGTGGATTGTTCGGTTGTTGGTACATGGGGGGCCTTTGAAAGCCTTGCCCCCGGTTGCCTTGATTTCCGCTATTATTCCACCCTCCTTGATTGTTGTTGTTGTTGCTCCAATTATTATTGTTCCCGTTCCAATTGCCTTGATTGTTACCTTGGTTACCCCAATTATTGTGTTGATTCTTGTTGTTCCAATTGCCTACACCTTGTTGTTGG